ACTTGTTTGTAATAAGTTCCCACCTTGGGTTGTTCTTTTAATTGGTTCTTTTGCTTGTTTCTTTGGTTATGGTGTTCTTTGGCTTTCACTTAGTCAAACTGTTCAGAACTTGCCTTATTGGCTGGTAAAGTTTCTTCCTTTTTTTTGTTTATCTATGTTAAAGATCTAATCTTTGGCTGATGTTTATTGCAATCTTGTTTCTTTTGTTAGATGATTGGATTAGCTTTGGAATTTACTATCTAACTATATGTTTTAGTGAAATCCAAAATTTTTGGGGAAAAGAGCTTGATTTGGTGCATCTCCATGTGGTATGTGTTCGGTTGTAATTGCAAAGAGATCATTGGGTGGGAAGGGCCGGATCATAAATGTCTGTTGTGCGCAGTCTTACCCTGCCTTACCCTACATTTCTGCAAGAGCCTCCACAGCTTGAACCCGTGATCTCCTGGTTACATGGCAACAACTTTACCGGCTATGCCAAGGATCCCTTTTTGCAAAGAGATCATTATAAATATAAAAATTCTTAGAAAGATCAGTTTTTGTGAGTAGTGATTGCTCCAAAATTGATGCATGTTTCTTGATTGCATAACTGAATTTGTGTGGTTTAGAGTGACTTTCATAGCTGAGGTGCTTTGTTTGCAGAAGTTTTTAGCAGCAACTACATTATTTAGCTTATCTGAGAGTAAAGCCTCTTCAATTTCAGTTCAACTATCGGGATTATGCTTGACATGAAAGAAAAATACCTTATATTTTCTGAGGAAGAAGTGTTTAGGTTGCATGGCTAAAAAATAACTCATTTGTTATTACATTGATTCAAGGGCGGAGCTAGAAGCCCGGCTACGGGTTCAGCCGAACCGAGTAATTTTTGCTCAAACAGTGTATTTGGGTTAAGAAATTCATTAAATACGCACAAATATTAAATTTAGAACCCAGTTATTAGCACTTAAAGTCGTCATTCTAAAATCCACAAGCTATAGAGTTCAAAATCCGCCTCTGCATTGATCATGTAACTAGTGGTGCTTGATCACCCTTTACTCTGAAGATCTTGGCCACTGCTAACAAATAAGAAGATGTTCCAGTATATCTTTTATCTTTTCTTCTTAGAAGCTGAATCGTTTTCCTTCGATCTTGCTTTTTCTGCTTGGATTGATATGGCTGTCATTTTTGATGGTTGAGGCTCGGCCTTTATCTCTGCTTTCCTTGGCTTAATTCATAGTAACATAATGGGTTTGCCCAGCTCTGATTTGCCATGTTGTCCTTTAAGTTGTTCACTGCTGATTGGTGTAAGCCATACCCTCTAATGCTGATTAATCATTTTCCCTTCTATAATTTCCTCTTGTTGCTGGTATCTTCGTTGACACTGCTTATGATTTCAAGAGTTAATGTAATTCTTTCTGGTAATTGGTTTCCCGTTTCTTCTTTTAATTGAACAATATACTGTACTTTGTTGTTTGGCAGTTATGGATTGCACTTTGTGTTGCCACGAATAGCAGTGCTTGGTTCAGCACAACTGTGCTTGTGACTAATATGAGAAACTTTCCTCTAAGCCGGGGCACTGTTGCTGGGGTTCTTAAAGGCTACGGAGGGCTAAGCGCTGCAGTGTATACGGAAGTCTACAGTGCATTGCTTCGCAATTCTTCTTCTAAGCTCTTGCTCTTCCTTGCACTAGGGGTTCCTACCTTAAGTTTATTGATGATGTACTTTATTAGGCCTTGTACTCCATCTTTAGGCGATGATTCTGCAGAGTCATACCACTTTTTGTTTGTTCAAGTAGCTAGTATTGTGCTCGGTGTCTATGTATTAACAACAACAATTTTGGAAGACATATTTTCGTTAAATGTCCTCGTTTCTTATACTTTTCTCGGTATCATGGTGCTCCTTCTAATGGCTCCACTAGCCATTCCTTTGAAGATGACCTTTTATCCCTCAAACCGTGGCAAGCTGAGCGTGCCCGATGTATCAGACCAAGACAATGTCAGTGCAGATAAATCAGAACCCTTGTTAACACCATCATCATCCTCAGCAAACCTAGGAAGCTTTAACGAGGGAGACGAAATCTCTGAAGTGGATATGCTTCTGGCTGAAGGGGAAGGCGCAGTAAAGAAAAAGAGGAGGCCAAGAAGAGGCGAAGATTTCAAGTTCAAAGAAGCTTTGGTCAAGGCAGATTTCTGGCTTTTGTTTTTGGTTTACTTTTTCGGTGTGGGTTCTGGGGTTACTGTTCTCAATAATCTGGCACAGATAGGAATAGCTCAAGGTCTTCATGATACAAAGATTCTGTTATCGCTCTTCAGTTTCTGCAACTTCGTGGGTCGTCTTGGTGGAGGAGTTGTATCAGAATATTTTGTCAGGTGTGATTCTTGAGCCTCTTAGCTACTATTTGTATTAATCTCCACTTATTTAACCTATAATTGTCAATCGATGGGAAAATGAAACAGAAAGGAACATGATGATAGGTGGTTTCTTCACTTAAAACTTTAACCAAAAGTAATTAGTTAAGCAGTTATTGCTACTGATTAACTTTATGATTTGCTCGATAAGATTGAAAGGACAACGTTTTTTATCTAATGTATTTGCCTAAGAATAGTCAAAAAGGGTAGTAAAAAGAAATAAATGGATGAGATAACTTGTTGAAGATGCTAAAGATTCTCATCAGGAATAATTAGACTGCTTGTTTCAGTTATAGTGTTTCACTGACGTAATAGTAGCTCGATCTAATTGCTTGTTGTTCAACTTACAATGCAGGTTAAAAGCAGTACCGAGAACAGTTTGGATGACGTGCACACAAGTAGTAATGATCATTACCTACCTTCTGTTTGCGTCTGCACTTAATGGTACCTTGTATGCAGCGACAGCGTTACTAGGAGTCTGCTACGGTGTTCAATTTACAACGATGGTCCCAACAGCTTCTGAGCTATTTGGTCTCAAGCATTTCGGTATGATTTTCAATTTCATGTCACTTGGGAATCCTTTAGGTGCTTATCTATTCTCCGGTCTTCTTGCCGGATTTCTCTATGATAACGAGGCAGCTAAGCAGCATTCTGCTACTTGCTTGGGTCCTAATTGCTTTAGAGTCACCTTCCTGATTCTCGCTGGAGTATGTGGTATCGGCACCATGCTTAGTATTGTTCTTACCATGAGAATAAAACCTGTTTACCAAATGCTTTATGCTGGAGGATCCTTTCGGTTACCTCAAAGTTCAAATCATTGAGGTATCTTGAAAAAGCATCACCAATTTTACGTGCAAATATTCTAAACGAGAGCACATTGATCAGTACGTCATTGCCTGTGAGTTCAAATTTTAGATAGTATCGACCCGTGTCAGTTGTTGAAATGATATGTTTGAGAATTGTTGTGATCTGTATGATATGTTTGAAAATTTTGGCTTTTGTTAGGTTGTGTCGACAATGAAGCATCTTGTGTATATAGATGCTTAAGCTACTGAATGTAACTAGTTACTGAGCTGTAACACTTGACGCATCAAGCTATAGCATGAAATAGTGTCCTCTCATCTACTTTGTATACACACCATCCCCAAATGGTTATACAATCTTTGTAGTATTATGAGCATGTATTCTTAGATACTGTATCATTGTTTCCTTTAGACTGACATAAATGCTACAACAACTGTTTTGATAATACAATGCATTATAGCTAAGCATATGGTTATTCCTAAGAACCGGTACTGTGGTGCATGCATCATGCATGGAATTAGACTGACAACTGAAGAATATACTACAGTTGTCGGAGCTAATATGAGATTTGGTTATAGACAGAATACCAGAAACATTATTATGGAAGCATAGTTATATAGAGCTTATTATAGCCGGACCTATAGTAAATTCCAGAAAGTCGATAGTTATTGCTGATGATCTGAATTGGTTTAGAATATCTTACTTTAATTCTCAGCTAGCAGTGATCTTTGAGATGGAACAATTTCAAGTGTTGTGATTACACTTTCTAATGGCTTATCCTTGTGTATAAGGTCAATTCTGGTAAAGTTGTGGCAATGGCGAAGCCAAGAAATCCACTAAGGGGTGTCAAAATATAAAGAAGTAAAACGCATGAAAAAGCTAAGGAGATTCAACATATTGTATATATACATAAATAAATTTTTGACCTAGCTGCACAGTATAATTTTTTGGCGAAGGTGCACACCCCTTAGCCTAAGGTGGCTCCGCCACTGAACTGTTGTAGTACCACAGAATGACATGAACCTGCCTTTCTCAGTATAAAATAAGTATTGCATGTGAATAATCGTAATCAAGTCCCACTATCATGCCACTCTTTCAGAATAAACTCCTAGCAAAATCATTTCATTAGGCATAAAGTTTACCCCAAAATCACATTGCTTCAATGTCCTGTTCCTGTAATTCAGATTTAACGCTATTCATCGGTTGGATGAATGATCTTGATCTTAATTTGCATAGCTACACATTACTCATGAGTGAATAAGAAGGAATTGGCATAACCTTGACTTCATACATGAAATGATGCCAAGAGTGATCTGTTGTTTGCTGATAGATTGTATTTCTTGCTGCTAGTCTTTCATTGTAGCTAATTCAGAAAACACACTAAACACAAGTCAACTGCGCCTAGTGCTTTGGTCTAGTTGTAAGAGGGTTGTGCCCTATTAGGCGCATGTCACGGGTTCGAACCTTGCCACAGACACAAACCTGGTATTTAAGTAGAGAAGGATAGAGGGGCGGAGGTATTTAAGTAGAGAAGGATAGAGGGGCGGACTCATTATCCACCAAGTTCCAAACGTGCCATAGGCCCTCGGGGATTTTTCGGTTATCACAACAACAACAAACCCAGTGTAATCCCATAAGTAGGGTCTAGGGAGGGTGGTGTGTACGTAGACCTTATCCCTACCTTATAAAGATAGAGAGGTTGTTTCCGATAGACCCTTGGCTCAAGGAACAGTGAAAATAAAACAACCAAGCAACAAACAATAGTAACAATGTAGATCTGCGTTGCTTAAAATCTCATTTTTGTGTGCAATATGAACCAACTGTCACACATATTTGATAGTAAAATTCAAGACTTTCAAGTACACAAATACAGAAAAGAAGGTTACAACAGAATAAGGAATGTTGAGACAGCAAACCCCATGTCTGTTCCATACCTTAAAAGTGCATTCTTCCTTTTTGCTACTAAAAACCAAAGCAAAACAGATATCTACTAAAAACATAGTACTAACCTAGGATTCTATAATCTGCAGCTTCATATGAGTTGTCAAGTGGGCTTCATATCTTGAAACATTAAAGACCATTGTGAGTAAACGCCATCATCAGCTTGTATCATTTCTTGACTGTAGTGATTAAGCCTTGGGCTCATGCCCTTTGCATCCAATGGCCCAGATTTATTGCTTCTGCTTGGATAAACAGCACTATTTTGGTACCTTCTGTCCAATGGCCCAGACTTCATTGGACTCCTATTAGGGTACATCAGTTTTTCTTGAATTTTCCCATCCAAAGGACCTGAGACACTCAGATTCCTACTTGTAACCATCATTTTGTCTTGCATTCTTCTGTCTAGTGGTCCTGACTTCATCGTGTTTCTGGTTGTAACTATGGCTTTCTCTTGCCTTTGTTCCTTCGAGCTCTCGAGCATCTTTAGTGCTCCGGTCCACTGTGTTCGATAAGGTTTGAGCTGGGATAGAGCGAGATGAGTCGACGTTCGGTGAAAACTGAGCTTGCTGAAGTTCTTGGAAATGAGCTTCTTGGTTTTGTTAATTGCCAAAACAAGTCTTGAGAGGCCATTTGATGTGGTTCCTCCTTCCTTTCTTGCCAATTTGAGAATCTCTAGTCTGTGTTTTGCTATAGTTATGCCCATGCTTTGTAGGAACTCATGGTTGAAGTAAGTTAAATCCTCTTTGTGAAGTTCATTTCTGCTGAAAATAAGACAATACTCATAGATAAGTGTTTGATCAAGAGTAGTCTTGGATAACCAAGAATACCAATCCATGATTTCTTTGGTTAAAACATGCAAGATGTGTTTTTTNCAAAACCCCCACCAAAAGTTTCAAAAAAAATAATAATAAAAGCTCACTTGTCCATCCTCACTAAAAAGACAAAAGGAGGAGGGGGAAGGTGGAAAAGGTCAAGAGTAAGTAAATGAACTTGAAAAGGAAACTACATGCAAGTAATGTGGTGGTTAAGATGATAGGGTAGCTAAATCAATTTATGTCATAAAATTCAATAGGTTGTTGGTTAATTAGCTTGAAAATTAGGCATTTTGACCTCTTCAAAATGGGTTTTAATTTATCATTTAAGTATGTAGTTGTGAATTCAATCACCTTTCTTCTTATAGAATTTAATTCATATATACATCTCAATCCATCTACTTGTTGCTTACATTGCATCAAGAAATAGCATAAACTGGCCAAAACTTAAACATCATCGAAGACTTGACACGTACAAATTGAGTATTATAAGGGGTTGAAATATCTATATATAATTAGAATTATCCCAAAATACTAAGGCCAATTATTTTTTTTATAAAAATTTATGAGAAAAGGAATTACACGGAGAAAATCTATAGTCGCCCATGAATCGATGGGTCATGGGTGGCTTGAAAATGGTAGAGATTTCCTACCATCTGCATAAGTTTTAATGGAGTTACCTAATACTGGTGATGGTGAGAAATATCAGGTATCCAGTAAAATGGTTCTAGTGGCGTGACTTGACTCGGACAGTTAAAAAAAATTATATGGAATATGAAATGGAAAATGTTCAAATAGGACATTTCTAGAATTGTACTAGAGTTATTGATTGGGATTTGCTAAGTGCTAACAACCACATGCCCATACCTACAAAGGAGTTGTTTTATTCAAAGGGCAAATATTTACTTCTCACATGGCCAACCTTCAAGATTGTCCTCACAAATCACAACCTACATTCAATTTCTGAAAAGGCAAGACCAAACTCCACTAGCCTGATTATGACATTGAAGACTATTTATTCTTCTTTTCGATCAAAATCCATCCCCTTTTCCAATCTTGGTTTATATCACACAAAGATGAAATTTCAGTGAATTGTTCTTTACCGATCTCATCTTTTACGGAATCAATCTTGTTTAGTATGTGGAGCTCAGCATGTCTTAAAGCACAGGAGAACGTTCATTTTCTTATATTATTACCAGTATTTTGATACAATCTTGTTTCGCAAACTTAATAAATTTATTTTCTTATTACACTTTGAACAAATGAATCCAATAAAACAACCAAGAAAAGAAGAGAACTTCTATCATCTCATATAAGGGAATTGAGAATAATCATGTACCTTGAATTGAAATTGTAGTGTAATGGTTATAACTGTATAGTTATATCCTATATAAGGTACGCCACTTTGTATCGGCTTAAGATTACGAGTTGGACATAAGCGGACTCGAATCATTGATATTCGCCGTAAGTAAACCACCGCCTCTCAGGTCCCCCAAAATGTGCTATCCAAATTACATCACAGTTGTCCTGTTTTTTTTTTTTTTTTTTTTTTTTTTTTTTTTTTTTTTTTTTTTGCAGCT